TTTGGGGTAATCTCATTTCAATTATTTTTCTCCATTTTTTGCACAGACGTTTTAGCATAGTTCTAGAGTTACAGCAGAGTTGTGAAGCCAGCCCAGAGGCTTGGCAGGAAATCCTCCTTCTGCTTCCCCTGGTGTTCAGGTCTTAGGTGACCTGGGGACCGGGTCACAAGGAGTAAGCCAGTGCCCAGGCTCCACTGCTAAGTCAGCTCTGGAGCTCCCGACTTGACTGGAGGTTCCGGGTCCCCCTAAGAAGCCCCGGGCATGTGATTAGTGAATGTTCAGCCTGACAGTAGTTTTGAGTCTCCTTTCTTGAATGCACTGTCCAACTCCCTGGCACGGAAGCTGAGATGTCTGTCAGGCTTCCAGCACCGCGCTGTGCTCCTGTGGCCTCCTGGCCCTCGGGGGCCCGGCCCTTAGGACAGCGAGGGTGGGGAGCCCGCCGTGCCGAGCTAGATCCCTGACCTGGCAGCGCGGGGCCCGGTTGAGTCTCTGACCCAAAGACAATGTTGCGCTCCTCCCTGGAACTGGTGGCTGCTGCCAGGTGATCTCTGACCGCAGCCCTCCCCAGTGGCTGGCTTGCTTCTCCCTGCTTCAGTCTGCTTGGGTCGTGAGACTTTGCTTTCAGTGTTGCAAGAGCTGGCTTCTGCTCAATTTCCAAAGAAAAGAAAAAGAAAAAGAAAACATTTAGAATGATAGTAGTGACCTGGCAATAAGACCTTGGACTCTTCTTGGTAAGCCTAAGGTTTTGGGAAACAGCAGAGCCAGGAAAGAGTCGGTGGGCACAGCCAAATGCGATGCTGTTAGTGTGGGGACAGGAGAGAGGGAGAGGAAGGAGAGAATGAGCCGGCCGCCACCCAGACGCGCCAAGGAAAAGAAGGTGCAGCTGAGCACCGAGAGTGGAGCATGAGGGAAGGGCGGGAGGGCCGTTTAGGGTTTAGTTTGGGGGATAGGGGAAGCCCTGCCACCTTCTTGAATGATCGGCGTATTTTCATACTTTCAACTTTCTTATTTAGACACGAATAGGTATTTTATAAGTGTGTAATAATGTTGAGGGATGTGTTGATCTTCTGAATAATTCCATATGAATGGATAACACTAGTTGCAACATTTGATTACTAGTTTTACAGGTCAGCTCCTGTTTAAAAGAGCTCCAAGAGACACCTGTATATTTCTTGTGGTAGCGTTTTTATTTATAAGTCATTCTCATTTCTGAAGAATTAGAGGAAGTGAGGAAAGCTTTCTTCACATTAGCTTGATCATCACTGTTGGGGCAAACAGCTAATGTGGAAAACACGAAGAAAGAGAAGCGTGCGCTGCAGCGTTTCCCACACGCAGCGCGCGGGTCGGACACTGTGGCTGAGGGATGCCACTCACCCCGCGGTCCCTGACTAGTCTTCATTTTAGATGAGAAAATCAAACCACACAGGCAGAGAAAGTCAGTTCCCTCTCTCAGCTACATGTTTACTTGGGGAAATTAAGCAAAGTTAACATAAAATTTAAAACCATTCTAAAATAATAATGAAATAAATTAGTTTCTTACAATTTACTACAAAGCACATCTAAAGTACACATAGGTTTGTTGGTTTTTTTTTTTTTTTTTTTTTTTTTTTCAGTGCTAGAGATACAACTTCACACCGTGAGCACCTGCAGCAAGCTCTGTACCACCGAGCTGTGGTCTGCTGTCGACTGACTTGGGTAACACTACAAAGTACATATTATTATTTCCATGATAAAAATAAAATCTTTCAAAATTATCAAACTCAAGAGTCTATAGCTAACTGACAGGAGAATGAGGGTTTGTGATCATTGCCTATTTACTGCAAACTCTGACTCTTTTCAATTATAGAGGACATCTATGCCTGATTTTGAAGCAAGTCACCAGGTCTGAGAAAATGAATGAGTGGTGGCGAGGTTGAAAATGTGACTTTTCTTATAGTGGCTTAGAGCAGCATGAGGTGAGGAAGCAGCAGAATGCTGTCAGTTGTGGCAGTCCGGATCGTCTAGACCACCGTCAAGAAGAGCTGAAGCGGGATTGCAAATCCCAGAGATTTGGGTGAAAGGAAAGAATGTCGCAGGTTATGAAAACTTCAAAGAAACAATTAGAGAAAAATTTAAGAAGAGGGATTATTTTATCACATGCAGTGGCACTGCCACAAGCAGACCTACACTTCCAGATTATTCTTTTGCTGTTCTAGGCATTTGGACTCTTTCCTAATTAGTTATCTGTTTGGGTGCTTTTGCAAACTCGCCTTTTGCGTGGCCAGATGCAATTGTCTGTTGCTCCCCACGGTAAGCCATGGGGTGGATAGAGGCTCTGCCTGCTTGTGTTTGTGGTCCTGAGCACAGCACTTGACAAAAGCGGATTACTCAGTGAGCTCAGTGAGTGAACTTGACAACAGTTGGAGCCTAATTTCAACAAAATGAAAGATTCCAGCCATTCGGGCCCGAGTACCAGCTGAGTGAAGACTGAGCAGAGGGAACAAGGTGCGCTCACCAGTTTCTAGCTTGCCCAGCTCAGGGCTATGTGTGTGCCTCCGAGAGAGCAAATAGAGAGGGAAGGCACCTGTGCAGGTGACGACTCGGACCTGGACACGCGGAGGTGGGACATCAGGTTGTCCCCAGGGAGAAGTGTCCAAGGGGAAGTTGAGGGTGCAATAGCTGACTGTACCATTTTTTTGGTATTTTCGTAGACATCAAAGTATCTTTCTATTTTGGCCGTGTGTCCTCACCCACCTCATTCACTGGATGTGATACTGGGAACTTCAGACACTGAGCCTGTCACAAACGACACTTACCTTCCTAGGCCCTAGGTTGGTTTGGGCATGGTATTGTGCAAATTCTGCTCTTCCCTGACAAGGCACTGCTCTCAGCACCTTCTGTGTGTTTGTTATTAATCTTCCAATAGCACAGATCTCTCCCGCATGGTCTTTGGTACTTTCTCCTGCAGTTCTCTAAGTCTGATTTCCTAAGTGTCGTTTGTGACAGGCTCAGTGTCTGAAGTTCCCAGTATCACATCCAGTGAATGAGGTGGGTGAGGACACACGGTCATGTGCTTGGAGCCTACTTGTTGTAGATGGCCGTGGGCAGCGGTGTCCAGCACTTCTGACCATACCTTATAAAGACACACAGGAGAGGAGGCTTCCAGAGCTGCTTCGGAAACTTGTAAGAATGAATGATGGGATAAGTCTGTTTGAAACAACGGGGGGATTTTGAAGGGAAGTAGTACCAATGTATCTTTTACTGCAATAATCTTTAAAAACATACACATTTGCTGTATAGTTAGGCCACACCACATATATATCGTGACAAAAGGAGTGTGGGCAGTTGGTAAATCTCCCTCTGACCCTGTTGGTGTGGGGGACAGATTAGTGTTCTGTATGTGCTGGCTAGCCCACCGTGGTGCCTGGGAATGGTAACTAATGTCTAATTGGCTGGAAAAATTAAAATGTGTTTGAAATAGGTTTATTCTGGCGTTTCTGGCTGCTACATGCTTTCTGTTTAGTGGCTTTGGACACTGGCTACCTCCTTTCTCACGAGGTGGCCTTGCTCTTAACTGCTCTGCCATGTTGCTTGTCATTGGGCTGTTACGGATTTTCACTGGAAGAGCATTCTCCACGGAACTGCACTGTCAGACCCCACTTTCCCTGTGTACTTGTGTGGTTGTGTTTGGCTCCTAAGAGCAGTAAAATAACCCACAGAGTAGACCCCAGCACTGCTGAAATCAAATGAAGACTTCAACAGAAGTTAGACACGTTTGGTGATTGCAAGTAAATCCTAGTTTTTATCATATTTTCATCTTGAAAGGACAAGGAAAATTTTTTTTAAGATTTGCTTATGCAGTTAGCCTTTAATAGTTTGCACTCAACAGCCTCAGACTACTGTGTGAGTGTCACTTAGTCATTCAAGCTGTAAACGTTAGAATCCTTTCCACTAAAGCCTAACATTGAAGTTACCCCCTGTACCCACTTCTTAAAATGCATGCATTGAGGAGCGTGGGTTTAAGGTGTTTCTTCAGCTCTGACCAGAACACCTGTTATTGAAAAATCATCTATTACTTCTTTAAATTAACACATGCAAGCTCAGAGTTAGACCCCATATTTCACTCAGGTATTTGTTAGTTTTCCTTTTATTCCCTACACATACAACAGACAGTGTGCTTTTGCCACATATATTTTATTTAATGCAATCATTTTTTATTCTTCTGAACATTTTAAAAAATATTTCACCTGTTAGATGTACAAGCTTTCCTAAAGATGAAGTCTTACAAAGATCTTACACTTCATTTTTACAAGCTGTTCTTTCTTTCTCGGTTCTATCCAAAATATTTCACCAGAAAGCTTGACTCTGATTTTCCAAGTAGAACCAAATAGACTTAATTTTGGTCTGGTCACTTTCGCTGAGGCCTCACAAGCTGCGTGTGCTCCTTACCCTCCTCTTCTGTAGCAGCCTGAACTGTAGGACTCTTCTGAGCACTAAGAGGGAAAGCGTGCCAAGCTCTGGTGCGCGGCCTGCAGTCCCATCTGCTCAGCACGTGTGAGCAACCGGTTCTATTTTCTGTGGAAGCAGGAGTGCTGTTTTCAGTAGCAGTAAGTCAGTGTTTAATGTTAGACTTTTAAAAACGTGATTGCTTTGGAATGATTCGGTAAGTTTAACTGTTCTCTGCATTTGGTAGACTTGGAGAAAATGAGTAAACCTGCTTTCTATTCAGCAATAAGATTTCAACGCCAATTAGGTTCACGTGTACGGATGGCGCACTTGCTGTACTCAGACTGCTTTATACTGCATTCCAAAGCGTTATGAATTTCAAACATGTACTGGAATAGATGGGCACGTTTTATAGAGGAATTACTTTTGCAGTAATCGCTTGCAAGGCAGTGTATAGAAGCATACTTGATTTAGCACTTCCGGGAGAGCAGGATTGTTGCTTTAAAGGAACAGCCTTCCTAGCTCCCTGATTGTTTGTATTTTACTAACTGAAATGATGGATTTTTGGTTTTCAGTCACCCAAGACTGCTTGCAGCTGATTGCAGACAGCGACACACCGACGATACGCAAAGGTAATGAAATCGTTCCTGGGCTTTTCCACCGGAGCGTCCGTCCAGGATGCCTTAGACTCGTGAGTCGGAGGTCTGCAGATTGCGTGGGAGCTGCCTCTCAGCTCACACATCTGCTTCAAAACGTGCGGATATCAGATGCCACGAAACCAAATGTCCTTGGAACATCTGGGGAATGAATGTTGAAACTGGCATAATCATCTCGTCAGCAGAATTACCTTAGAGGAGCTGATGTTTAGAGGGTGTAACTAATTAGATTAAGTAAAACTAAGTTAAATCAATTAGGAAATCAAATTTAACTTCTGTAGAAATCATTTTGGCTTCAACAATGATGTAAGGTTGTTTTACAAATCTTAATTCCTTTATGTTTTTCATAGAAATCATCACGGGATGAAAACAAAACAATGTAGCCTATGAGCTATATTTTTATGACAACTCTTCAATGTCAAATTAGTGCATGTGAAGTTCCTCATACAATGTACACATACAATGTGTGCGTAACATCCATGTGCTGCCGTAACCTGTGCCAGCCCCTCCTTGGAAGCAGTGTATCTGGGGAACGGCCACAGTACAGCTGCTTCCATCAGTACAAAATAATTAACGAACAAAATCATACTAGGAAAGAACACTTTGTTTCTTCACTCAGGTAGATTTGCTCATTTTATGCGTGCTGATTAAGAACAAACAGTAGTCCAGTGTCCAGAGGGCGACCCAGGGCGACAGCAGGTGTGAGCTGGTCTACTTGGCGGGGACTTGCCTCCTGATGAACAGAACATGGGGGAGGTGGGGTGGGGACCTACACCCTACAAGTGGACAAGGAAAACGTAGAATGGTGAAGGGAATGCAGGGGGGAGGAAGTCAGAAGGGGCAGGGGGTTCTGAGTTGTGATCCACAGTAGGAGGTTGGGATTATCAGAAAATTAACTTGGGGATGAGAAAGGGAAAACCAGCTATGGCCAGCCGGGCATGAGCACACTGGCCTTCCTGCTGAGTTCCCAGAGGTGGCTCTGCGCCAGTCTCTTTCTGTATAACTTTGATTACCCAAAATTTCAAGCAAGAAACAAACTCTTTGAAAACCTATTATTGCTCTACATTTTCCAAAACTCTGTTTGCAACTTTTAAAACTATTTCCTAAGAATTAAAATAGAGCCAGAAGAATACCCTAAGGACCCAAGATAATTTTTAAAAAATTACTTGGGTACAAAGCTTTCTTTACAAATGCAAAGTGATATAGTGACTAGTACATGTTGTGACCATCTTGGACTGCTGAGTATGGCCCTGGCTGCTGAGACACAGGCGTGCAGCCCTGGGGCATGGTCCAGAGCGTGCGGGTCCCTAGCACACATGAGCAGGCTGCGCAGAGGCAACAGAGCCCATGGGCCGTATTCGGGTCTGTTAGTGTGTACAGTCATCGTAGCAGGGAGACCTGGGTGGAGGGCACGGGTCGCACCCAGTGGAGCACTTTCACAGGCAGGAACCCGTCCGCCCTCTCCTAAGTGCTAATGTACTGTGCCCTCACCACATGTCCTCGGATCCCAGTCCCGCATATGGGGAACCCCAGTCTTGAACTGAAGTCATGCCCCCCACTCTAGAGGCAGGAGCTGCCAGGAGCGGCCTCTGTTCAGCAGATAGTTTAAATCCTGTCTTTGTCGCATCCCATCCTTTTGCTCAGGTAGTCACGGGAAGGAGGCTGCTGGGACCAGAAGCAGCAACAGGGGTCTTGGTGCGTGGGCTCACACCCAGTTTACTTTAGAAAATAAGCAGCATATTCACGTGTTGGAAACCAGCTGAAGCGCAAGAGGGGACTGAACCCTGGCGTCCTTTGGGTCTGCTCCTCCCCACCTCTGCCTCATGCCTCTTGGTTTTCATTCTTTCTCACTGCAGACTTTGGAGCTCTCTTGATGTAAATGCAATGAAACTAAAAAACACTTCCATGTTGCCTCATTCTTATGCTAAGCATGATAATGTGCCATACCTGGGATATATGTTACTGGAAACAAGTTTATCTCCTGTCTTTCCTTTTATGGAACATGAATTATAGATATTTTGGTGTCTGTAAATAGAAAATTTACATTTAGAGTCAACATCATATTCCACTCCAAGACTATTAATAATGTCATCAGTTGCTTCCTAGTAGACGTGGTGCAGTCTCTGGCCAGGAGGATGCCCCAGCTCGTAGCCTGCGCGTTCATAGTTTCTCCCGTGTCCAGGGTGCGTTTCCAATTTGCACGGCTGTTGCCGGTGGGTCCAGAGGGCGCCTGACAGCTGCTGCGGCTGGCTGCAGAGAGCCGCTGGGGCCGAGCCGCACTGTTCAGTCCGCTTTGTGATGAAAGGTGTGGGCCATCGCTTTGAACGAGCACCACTTCTGTGTTCACGTCCCTGTGATTTTCAAGTTTGTATTTGTGTTTCTCAGAGCTGCTTTTTCCCCAAGATGCTTGCTCGGATTCTTTGCATTTTTCTCTTGCCGCTGCCGCCTCCGCAAGCCGATTTCTGCGCGCTCGCTGCGCTTCCCACTGGCGCTTCTTCAGGCTGTGTGTGCATCGCGGCCGCTTGCGTTACAGCACAACGCTCCTGCAATTATGCGTAAGGTAACTTTTTTTTTTGTAAATTTGTCAAGTTTTTGGAGGACTTTAGACTTGGAGTGGCAATTAGAAAGGCCTGCAGCCGGTCAAAGATGTCATTTGTTGTTGTCCTTATATGTAAGCAATTTCCTTATTTGCTGCCTACATCCACCGTGAGGCGAGCTGGGCGCTTACTGCGCTGCTTCCCTGGGGCGCCATCCCGGGCACAGACAGTTTATAAAAAATCTCCTTCCCGCGCCGCTGGGAGGTGTTAGCTGTAACTTCCGCTGAGCAACTATGTGCGGGCCAATCTGGGTTTTCCAGGCTTTTCTATCATATTCACTTATGTCTGTTTAAGGGCCAAAAAATTCCATTTTTGTTAGTGGGGCTTTATCTGGTAAGTCTGTTTCCCTCCTCAACTTTATTTTCATCTTTAAAATTTGTCTTATTTTTACTTTTCCAATGGGAACAGTGGAATCACTAGTTAAAAAGAAAAAAAATGCCTTCTGGCAAATTTAGTCACTGTCTTATAAATTAAAGTGTGGAATAAATGCTTCTACTAATAGATGTTCTAGTCAAAGCCAATCAGAGAACATAATATGCATTATATATTTTTCAGTCTTTTCTTTCTGTCTTTCTTTCTTTCTTTCTTTCTTTCTTTCTTTCAGTATGTGTTGATATTTTCTCCACGTAGATCTTACCTACTTCTTTTAACATTTTTGCGAAGTATTTTTCCATTCAGTTGTTCTTGTAAGTGACTACATTTTCTTTTCTTATATTTTCTAGTGATCTTTTGTGTCTCAAGGTCTTGATGGTGTCTCTTTACTTACTAATATATGTTGCAGCTATTTCTGTAGTGTGTCCTTTCTGTATTAAGGTTGAAATAGTCTATTCTTTCATTTATAATTTCTTAGTATGCTTTTTTCTCAAATTTCATTTTTAACTTTTCAGAAAAAGATTGTTTTACATGTACCCTGTATGCACAGAATAAACTTGGCATTTACTATTTTTTTTACCTCATCTTTAAAATCATTTTCTTTCTTTCTCTTTTTTGTCCTGGAAATTACGCTCGACCTCCTGCTTGCCAGGCACGTGCTGTGCTGCTGAGCTGTATCTCCAGCCCAGTGTTCACATATTGAGTGATATAATGTCACTTACATTTGCCTACTTCAATAATAATTGGCTCTTATTCATCATATTCTGATATACTGCGTATTCTCTTACACCTTAGCAAACACAATTTCTACTTTGTAGTTAAAAATGATAGGTCACCTTGCTCTTTCTGTGTGTACAGCTCTAGCATTTATCTTTACAATTACATCATTTCTTTTTTTCTTTTTCTTTCTTTTTTTCTTTTTTTTTTTTTTTTTTTGTGGAATCAGGGATTGAACTCGGGCCCTTGCGCTTGCCAGGCAAGTGCTTATTCTACTGAGCTATCTCCCCGGCCCCTTATTTTTCACTAAGGTCCAATTCACATAGTATAAAATTAAGGTGTACAAGTCATTGACATTCTGTTAGATATAAACTGTGACTCACCAACCCTTTCATCCATTAATGGCCATTTGGGCTGTCTCCACGTTTTGGGTTTTGTGCGTAGTGATCCTGTGGACATCTGTGTAAGATACCCATTGGAGTAATTCTTTACAATTATTTGGAGCGCACAGGTGAGAACTGCTGAGAAGCTGCAAAAGAGTCATTACAGCGGCGAAACTCTGTACACTCCAGCCAGCAACGCCTGTTCTAGTTTCCCAAAGCCTCGCCTTGCCAGCGCGGTGTGCTCACCACTGTGTGAGCCTGAGCTTCGCTGTGCTGTGGGTTTGCATACCCCAGCAGCTAACAATATTGAGTTTCATTTTGTGTGTTCACTGGGGTTTTTGTTTGTTTGTTTATTTTCTTTGGAAAATGCTTAAGCCCTTTGATTGTATTGTCCTTGGATCATTTGTCTTTTTGTTCTCGAAGTATAAAATTCCGTTATGTATTAGGGGTTCTTACAGATGACCTGATTGAAAATATTTTCTCCTACTTGAGATATTATGTCTTGCATTTCTTTGATAATGTCCTTCGATGCACAAGAGCATTTGATTCTGTCGAAGTCAGTTTTATCTACTGTTAACCTTTCTTCCTTATACTTTGGGTACCAGTACTGACGAGCACATTACTGACTCAAGCCTGCTCATTTGCCCGTGTGCTTTCTCCTGAGAGTCTTAGCATTTTATGTTTTGTATTTAAGTTATTGCACTTTTTGTACCTAGTTATGTATAAGGTATGTGACAGAGGCCAATGTCATCCTTTGGCATGTGGACATTCAGTTGCCATATGTTATGCTGTGTCTGGATGTCCCCACGAGCCTTATGTACTCCTGGGGGCAGGCTTTTCAGAGGCGACTGAATCTAGAGTCTGTGATTGGTTCATCGTGTAATGCTAGCACTGGGCTCTGAGCGCC